TATGACATCGAATTTTCAAATTGTTTTAATGATTTTAAATCAAGATGAGCAGAGTGGTGTACGGAGTAATTGTAATAATTTATAATTTAATTTAACACGTTTCATTATTTCATGGCCATATGTGTACGTTCTAATTAATTAAGTATAAGTTTATAAGACATAATTATTATTTTACAAGGGAGTTTATTTATTTGCATTCAATTAGAAAAGTGCTAAAAGCTTTCAACAAAATAACTGTGATCAGTTACGAACGTTTAAGTAAAAATATTTGAGATGGACGCATTTTATCTTTACAATTACAATAACAAATGTTAATTTATATAGATAGCTAATGTTAATTGTTTACTGTTGACTAAAAATACATAATCAACATAATATATTATATTGTGTACTATTAAAGACAAAATTTAATAATTTAGGGATAGCAGTGTCATAGCAACCAAATATTGCGCTCGGGATGAAACTACAAGATGCGATCCTACGTATTTTTAATTTAAATATATTATTATTAGATATTATTTTCAACAATTATTTCCATGAATATAAATTATGTTTATGTAATTAAAATACACAACATGACCGTTGTAATTTTTTATATAAAAGACAAATATTTCCTTTTTGCATCCGGGACTTGGGCAACTCTCGATCTCCTTTGCCACGGCCCTGAGTCATAGGTATTATAGTCATGTTACATAATTGTACAAAAATAAGTTGAATTTTTTTTTCTACATTGTATAAATTATTGACATCTTGTGAATCATGATTAATTGATTTTTAAGGATTCCACGTCTCATGAGTATTATATTTAAATAATTGAATAAGAAGAACCATTTTTAAATACTATAAGTATATCTTAATACATAGGCGTGCGCATGGGATATGCATCTGCATACCTTAAATATAGAGCTTTGTTTTTAAAAATACAAAAAAATATTAAAAATTACGACATTTGGTCTTATGTATATTATGTGATTTTGTATTACATTATAATCTTTATTATATTTTTATATTCAGTACCAAACATTATAATTTATTTTTGAAATACAAATTATATTTTATAATATTAAAAATTAAGAAGTACTATGAATTCAAAAGAGATTAAATAGCTTTCAACTACAGAGCAAGAAATGGTTATAAATTAAAACCCCTAAGACATTATACATAGGCGCAATATGGGGGGCTTGGGTATGCTTAGCACCCCCATTTTCGAAATTAGCACCCCCAAATGTGTTTATGTTAATTTACATTTAAATACTTATTACTCATTATGTATAGAAAAACACAATAGTTTTTGAGTTTTTTTGTATAAATATATACATTTTTATACAATACGAAAATAATTCGCATTACGAAAAAACAATATCTTTGCTATAGGTAAAAGTTTCAAGTTTCTAGCCACATTACTTTTGGAATTATGACCAAATAACTAAAATTTGAAATGTGAAAGTCTTATTTACAGCCAGTGGCGTAGCCAGAAATCTCTCAAGGGAGGGGCCCACCAGATATAACGCCAAAATCATACGTTTTAGTATATTATATTTTATATTTAATTAAGATTAAGACAATTGAAGTACTTATATTAAAGCATGTACAATTTAAGTAATGTTTATTATTTTGACCAGTCTTGTAATTGCATTCTCTTGGCGGAGATTTTTATGAAATCTTGTGCTATTTCCTCCATAGTTACATTTACTTCCTTATTAATGTTTGTTAAAGCCAAACCATTTAGCCTTTCTTGGGATATTGTTGATCTCAGGTAAGTTTTTATTCTTTTAAGAGTAGAAAACGTGCGTTCTGGAGTGGCAGAAGTAACTGGTAGTGTGGAGAACAACTGTAAAAGTGTTTTAATGTTCGAAAAAAGATCTTCGCAGTGCTTTTTTGATTGCTGAGAAGTACGTTTACCGCTGTTTGGTCTCCATTTTCATAGTTTTTTAAGAAGTCTTTTGCCCTTTGACTAGAGATCATATGATAATTGGTTTTAGAATGTTCATTTAAATCAGCCATTGCATTCTTATACTTGGTCATCGGCTCTCTTACTAGATTCTTTAACGACTACAAGAAATAATTATAAAATTATTATATTTATAAATAATCAAGGGAAATAGTTATTTTTTTCTGTGTAATATACCTGGTTGCCTGATCCACCGCCTGAAAAAGCAAATACAACACACCATTTGCAATAGGCTCCTTTATTAATCTCACTATAAGCTAACCATGGAAATATTTCTAAATACTTATATTGAAATTTTCTGCTATGTTTGCCTTCTGCATGTATAGGAAAATCATACTTTGGGTCGGGTATCCAAGTCAATTTCAAACAATTAAATATTTCAGAAGACTGTAAAGTGTGTTTGACCACAAAATTGGCAATATCATACAAATGCCCTGATTTCTAAAATAATAATAACAAAAGCGTATTACATATTACAATACTAATTAAACCTACATTTTTAGTATTCATAGCTAAGAATTGAAAATTTAATACAAGGTTTTCTATAAGTTTTAAAATTTATATTTGATGAAAACTGTGTTTTAATAATTATTATAATTCTATACATGAGTGGTGTCATATTATTAAACTTTTTTAAAATAAAAACAATAATTTGTATTATTTTATTTTTGTTAAAACTGCTATGTCCATGCTATTCCATAATTAATATTATGATTATAATATGATAATGATCAAATTTTTTTACTTCTGTAAAACAAAAAGTATGTGCAGCTCTAATATTTCTTTAGCGCAATCTCTGAGACATTAAGATTTTTAATATTTGAAAAACTAAACGTCATATTACTCAAATACTACACAATAGTATCATTGCGACAATACGTATAGCGTATATACCTACAGTCTTGCTTATTTATTTTATAATATAATACCTTCTTGATTTCCGTTGAAATTAGTCTCTGTGAGTCAGACTGTGACTGCTGTTGTCCGTCATCCACGACGTCGTTAGATTCTGTTTTAATTTTTTTTTGTGTTGAGTTAAAAAAATTAGTTATCTTCGATGTTCTTTTATTTTGTTGCATATTATTTTTAAATTCGGTTGTCAATTTATACAAATATTAAAATATATACACAAGTAGATAGTTAAGTTATAACTTATAAACAATGCATTGACAAGTAAAAGAATACGTTATTCACAACTACACGATTAGACTAGGATCACACTATATTGTATTTTATCGGCAATTAAACAGCAACTGAAACTGAGCAACGCGTGTGCGGTATCGAACGGTTCCAGAGAAACAGTCTAGTCTAGAATCTAGATACGATAATCCATTATCGATTTTATCTTTTGCTATTTATATTTTACTGGGTATTGCAAAATAATGCGAATTAACAATTTACTATTTTTATTTTGGTTTTCATATCAAATCATTATTTAATCATACATTATAAAGTATTAAAGTATAATACGAGTGTCGATTACTGAGTAGTATTGTGTTATACTATTATAATATGTACTACACGGGCCAAGGGGGGGGGGCCCGGGCCCCTATGGGCCCCTCCCTAAATACGCCACTGTTTACAGCGTATTTTTACCATTTCAGGATAGTTTTTTCCTCGAGTCTAGAAAAACTATCAAGATTTAAAAAAATTACCTACCTAAAGTACCACCACATGCCAATTTAATATTTAAAAAAGATCCTAAAAAAAACTTGGACCAGTATTTCTATCCGAAAAAGTGTTAATCAAATAAAATACAAATATCATTATAAAACAATTACATCCTTCGCTTTAGTCAGAATCTAAACGTGATCATGTGATAAGACATTTGTGTTTATAGACAGGTAATTCGTTATACGCACAATAAAAATATAAAATCAAAGTGAACAATTTAAATTTAGAAATATTCATATATTTATCAAATTTCTTAGTAACTGTTAAATTGTACGGTTTGCGGGTGTCTATAAACATTAAGGAACATGAATAAGATAAAAGGGCTTTAGCATCCCCAGTATTTTCATTAAAATTGCGTCCCTGACATTATAGGTGATATTAAGAACTCGACTGAATACAGAATTGTTTTAAAATCAATTATAATTATTTATCAAATTTATTTTGTTTTTTCATCTAAGTATATAATTACGTTTACCATCGTGTAGGCTCGGGCCTACCTAGTTTTCAAATAGTTACTATTAATACTATTTACTTTTTAATATATTTATATATTATTAATAAGTCAGACAGGAGAAATTATGTTATATAATATTAATAGATAATTTTTTCTAATAAAATTTAAAAATGTTTTGAAAAGTGCAAAAAAAGAAATATGGAGTACTTGTATAAATTAAAATAATTATAACTGGGACTGTTCTACAATTTGATCCTGGGCACTGCTTCTTTCGATCATCATCACACCAATAAAGGTCAATTCCCACGGGTCTGGACCGGAGCCCGCCCGAGTTTTAGGAAAATATTATCTTATAGATTTTATATTTGACAATTTACACTTTTCCAAACCGGGCGTCGTGTCCGATCCTAGTCGAAAAATTATTGTTGAAAAAAATTCGCTCTCCGGATTCCCGACGGATTTTCCAAATAAAGCCGGTCGGACACTTCGCGACAAGTGTAAACGATTGAATTGTAAGTTGTAAACTAAATATTAAAAATCGTAAGCTCAGACAGGCTATTTTGTGTCACGGATCCATCATGGACTAGTTGGAATGAACAAATGAAATAATACTGCATTCGTGATTCGATTTCGAAACTCGCGGGCGGCTCTACAAATGTTATAATTTCGCGTAATGTATTGTTCGACGAAACGTTCCGCGATAAGCATTTGAGAATGAAATTACGACGTGCGACTTGATCGTTGTCGGCCCATTGGACGATTCGAAATCGTTTTTCATGTGTTTCTCGTGGGCGAAAAATAATTAACGAGCCGCGGTTACGAGTGAAATACGTACGGACGCGGCGTACGTCGTTACCGTGACCGTGGTAACTTATAACCTCAAAAGCGTATGCAAAATGATACGCGTCCGCTCTTCGCACGCACTCACATTTTCCCTTCATTCGCATTTTTCTTTTCCCTATGGTCTCCGACTGAACACGTGAAGTTCTTGGGTTTTCTCGTTTTATTTTGATTTAAGTTTAATTCAAACCGTCGAAGATGACCGAAACCATGCAACTTCGTGGAACCCTTCGCGGGCACAACGGATGGGTCACACAGATCGCCACCAATCCGATTCACACTGACATGATCCTGTCGTGTTCACGAGGTAAGTACGCGCCGCCATGCCCGGTCTTCCAATGTTTGCATTAGATCACATTCGTCGTAAATCAATAAAGGCAACGATATATTTCTAACATTATTCATTGTTATACTTCTGACCTTATTGAAAGTCGACCAATATCTCTCGCAGCTCGATTGGTTTTTTTTTACCTCGTTTACCCTATGTTTAATTATTTTATCGTAGACAAAACATTGATTGTTTGGGATCTTACACGTGATGAGCTCAATTACGGTTTCCCCAAAAAACGTTTGTACGGTCACTCGCACTTCGTCAGTGATGTTGTTCTGTCATCTGATGGAAACTACGCCCTCTCGGGATCCTGGGACAAGACTCTGCGTCTGTGGGATTTGGCTGCCGGACGTACCACTCGTCGTTTTGAAGATCACACCAAGGTTCAATATATCTCAAGCTTTTTTTTTACTTTTTTTTTTTTTATTATGTATAGAAGCTTTACTGCTTGGTAAGTACTTACACATGTCGGTATATGCTTCGCAGATTCTCCAGTAGGCTATATATATTTGTCTATTTGTTTTACATTGTTTTTATTTTATTTAGGATGTTTTGAGTGTTGCCTTCTCTGCTGACAACCGACAAATTGTTTCTGGGAGTCGGGACAAAACCATCAAGTTATGGAACACATTGGCTGAATGCAAGTATACTATTCAGGTAAAAAAAAAAAAAAACCATAAGTGTACCTACTATTATAATTGATTTATTGGCTAGAAAATGTATATGGTAATACACAATGGTTGAATTAGATTTTTGAGTTCAGTAGATATTAATGCTAATATTATTTTTTATTATTTAGTTCTATTTTTAGTTAAACATGTTATAGTGATAGAATTAATGTATAGTGAAGACTAGGAAATTTTTTTAACCATGTGCAATATAAATGTAAGACCTTGTTTTCAATACATTATTGCTATTCATTGTAAAACTATTGATTGAAAGGTTGTACGTGGTTGGTTAAAAGTGATCGGCCAATAATCAGTAGACCAAGATAGAAATATATTTTCTTTAATGTTAATGTTATTAATTATACTGTAAATTAATAATAAATTGTATTAACTATTTTCCCAATAGATAGAACAAAATATCAATAATACAAAACTAGGACTTGAAATTATTTTCTAAAATTTAAATTGTTATCATAATATCCAATACCACTAAAAATACATATTTGGAAACATACTAATAGAAACTATATCTATTGAAAGTTGTCATGTTGGGTAATTTTATGAAAAAGTATGGTGTTTTTAATTTATGAACAAGTTCATTAAATAAAATTTAGTAGAAATAATAATTTTATTATTCTGTCATAGTATTGTAGTAGTCATATGTATGTTGTATTTATTCTTTATAAATATCTAATAATGGTCTTAAAATGCTAAAGCATAATGCTTATTCAACTTCAGAATACACTATTATGTGTGTGGCATGACTGATTACTGTTTGTTGTTTGTCCCCTAAAAATTAATTGTTTCCAGTTGATTCATTTTACCTTGTGTCGTTACTAATTGCTTTCTAATCGTATGCCATTGTTATCGCCATCTCTTGTGCAAATTATCATTTATTCATCAACTGGATAGTCTATCTGATCTGTTGGCTAAATATCCCATTTCAAACATTGCTTTTTGTTTCATTATGTTTATATCTTGTTTGATTTGTTATGTATTATAAATTATTTATCAGTTGCATTATTACATAATTTTCATTAATATATTTTTGTATTTAATTTTCTGTTTTTTTTACCTACTTATAACTAGGGCTGGGATGTTTTTTTTAAAATTGCATACATTTTTCTATTGATCCAGTTTAGGGTATGTTCTATTGAATCAAATAATATGATTTTTACTTTGCATATTTTATATTTTTATATTTTACATGTATATTTTTGGAATTTTAATAATATAAATGCATATTACTGTATATTTTCGAACATTTTTAAAAAATTAAAATTAGTGTATAAATGTTAAATTATCGACCTGTATAATTGTATTTATCCCAAATATTTTTAGATTCAAGTGGTCAAATTAAAAAAAAAAAACCATAGTATCGGTAAATAAAAAATTATCAAAATAATAATTATTAAAAATTAAAAATTATTATTTAAATAATCAGGAAATTATTCAATTTCATGCAACAAATTAATGTCTTCTTCCTCTCCTTTCTCCCAACTATTTGAGTTCAGCCATCTTTATTTTAAACCTCCTCTCATCTTGATTTTCTACATCCCATACACCAGCACCCATCATATCTCTCAATCGTACCCATCTATCTCTTTTTCATACAATGTTCATTTTGATACCAACATTCATTGCTTTTATTTCCTCTTGTATTATTACATACCCAAACTATCTTGGTCTATTTTATCTTATTACAAATTAGTATATAATATCTAAAAAAATAACAAACATAAATATAATACATTTTTAATTTTTATAATAAAGTTAAAATATATTTTACTTTGCATATTTTAGTGTTTTTTTATTTAGTTAAAATATTAGTACTTTCAATTTTAGTTACTTTGAACTATGAGATTGCAATTTTTAAATAATTTAATTTAATTTTTTATTCCAGGATGATGGTCATAGTGATTGGGTTTCATGTGTACGTTTTTCACCAAATATTCACAACCCAATTATTGTTAGTGCTGGTTGGGATAAGGTTGTTAAGGTGTGGAACTTAACTAATTGCCGCATTAAGACCAACCATTATGGACACACTGGGTACTTGAACACTGTTACTGTTTCACCTGATGGTTCTTTGTGTGCTTCTGGAGGAAAGGTATAAAATAATTTTTTTTAAATAGTTAGATAGTAATGTATTGTTTTATTTAGGACTGTAAAGCTATGTTGTGGGATCTTAATGACGGTAAACACTTACATACACTTGATCATCATGATATCATTGAAGCTCTTTGCTTTAGTCCCAACCGTTACTGGTTGTGTGCTGCATTTGGTTCATCCATTAAGATTTGGGTATGTATTTATGATATTATTATATTGTTCACTCTAATTTTTTAAAAACTTAATAATTATTTTCTTAATTTAGGATTTGGAAAGCAAAGAAATGGTCGAGGAACTTCGTCCAGATGTTGTATCTCAATCACAAAACAGCAATACCGAACCACCCAAATGCTTATCACTTGCATGGTCAACTGATGGACAAACGTTGTTTGCTGGATATTCAGACAATAACATTAGGGTTTGGCAAGTGTCTGTCAGTGCTCGTTAATGTTATTTAAATATATTTTGATATAATATATCGACAACATTTATTGTATTTGTTTCTTTTATTGATAAATTTGAATATTTATGAATTATGAATAACTGATTTCACCTATATCATAATTTGATATATGAATTAACAATTGTTAATTGATATATCTTAACAATTGACTTAGAAATGTGTTGAAAAAATATTATTTCTAGTTTCTAATGTATGTATTAAGAGTTAATGGTATTGTTGTTTGGTTACAATATCAATGGTAGGTTTTTTTTTTTTTTTTTTGATAATTGTTGACCTAAATTTAATTATTGCCATACTTTTTAAAAGAATGGTTCATAGTAAAAAATGAAAATGAAATGAATGTTTTGGTATAATATGTAATTCAATATCATATTTAATAACTAATTTTTGAATTTTTTTTAAAAAAAATTGAATTTTATGCCATTCAATCAGAATTTCCATACTAAGTATTGTAAAAAAAAAAAAAATCGCGTTTAAATATATTGATTTCCCGCGAAAATATTAAGGGTGATACAGGACCTATGGACATACTGTATATGTATATACTATATGTACACTACAACCATATATTCCAAGTACTATAAGAGGATTATGGCGGTCTCTATTTGTACTGTTAACAATTATACATTCCTAGAAAGTTTGGTTAAATCAAGTTATATTTAATAAACATGGGATATCATTATGAACACTTTATTTAAACCGATCATTGTCATTCATCGGTATACATAAAATTATAACGATAATGGTATATATATATACAAGTAGTAATAGTTACAAATAATAAATTAAGACAACGCTAATTCATAGACTAAAAATATTTTTATTTAAACATCTGTTATATACTGAATGGTAATGACAAATAAATTGGTTATGCCTTACCTTACAATTAAAGACCGGATATAATTGCATTAAGAATATCTTAAAATTGCTATGAATATGTATCGAAATTACAGTATAAATATGTTAAAATTGCAATGAAATACATTAAAATTACATAGTAAATTCATATCAAATATATAATCATTAATTACTTAAATAATATTATGGACATCAATATAATATTTACAAAATATATAATTTTCTGAATTATAATTTATAAGTATATACATCTCTAAATTGTATTCTTGAAAATTGTATAGTCTGTTACTTAAAATATGTTTATATAATGAAAAGTACATTCAACGTTGACACTTGTTATCGATGCATATTTAAAATAGTTTAAAAAATTGGGTGATGTATCTAAATAAACATTTTGATTTCCTATCATAATCTCGGAGTAAGTTTAAATAGTTTTTTATCATTCATTTTTTTCTAAGACATATTTTAATTTATCTTTAACTATTTTTCCATTGGGACAGGGAATATTTATAGAAACATTTACACTAAATATTTTTATTTAGTTAGTATTTGTTTAGTATTTATTTAGTATTTATACTAAATATGTTTAAATATATTTAATTAAGTAATTGACTATTTGATTCTTCTGAAATTGTGAGTTTAGTGGATAACTCAGATAAATATAATTTTAAAAATTCTAAACTACATTTAACTACTTGTAAAAATTTACGTCGTAGTTATATTTTTTATGTAAAATCACTTTGAAAATAATAATTTGTATATTTTATCACATGAAGTATACAAAAATTGCATTATTAAATTAAATAGAAAGACTGTAATTAATCTGATTAGTATACATATTTGATTTACTGGATATCAATAAAAAGTTGTAATATCAATTTAAATCCGCTCTTTACTTATAATAATCAGTAAACAGTAGGTTAGATATCATATGGAACCTAAAACCCCCATATCAGAATATTATACTTGGATAATTGCAGTGTATTGTTTGTATGGTTTCTCAATAATAAATGTAAAAATAAAAAATGATCTAACTGACGAGAGTATTATAACGATTACATCATACATTTTTGCTATAATGTATATTATTATTATTATCAGTAGATCGGTCAGTTTTACACCGGGTTGTTCGCCCGGTTTTTGTTGTCGTTCGCGTACGTGAAATTTTTGTAAATTGTACTGATCCACGTGATGTGATGAGTTACGTCAGTAAAAACTGCTATTGCTTCGTTCTCTGTCGGATCCTTAACGCTCGTTATTCCTGTCAAATAATGCAAAGAACTACTACCGATACCGTGCACAAAAGTCAGGCCTGCCCCGCTGTCTCCGGAATGAACTCCTTGTCCTGAAATATATTGTTTCAATTTATGATGGTCAATAATAGTTCAAACGCAGATAAAAGGTTAGGTTAGGTTCTTATTTGTGTAGCTTAAAAGGTTTAACTGTATGTGGAAGAGAAAATATTACCTGAGTACTAACATATATAACAAAGAGGAAATCAAATAGATCAGTTAGATGGAATTAGCCAAAATAGATTTTAAGAACAAGAAAGCCCTCTTACTTAAAAGAATATAAGCCAAAAAATTAGGAAAAAAATCTATTATAGACATATTTATGGAATATAGACCTACTACATGGACATGAGTAGTATGAATATGTATGTTCTAAAACAGCCTCCTCCTCCAATAGCCACCCGCCAGCCAACCATCGTAATTTTATTTATTTTTTTTTATCACAGCCGCCCGATCGTTCACGTAAAATATACATAGGTTACGTGAACGATCGGGCGGCTGTGATAAAAAAAAATAAATAAAATTACGATGGTTGGCTGGCGGGTGGCTGTTTTAGAACATACATATTCATACTACTGACATGGAACATGGACAATATCAATGGAAGAACAAAAATCACTAGAAACATTCGACATATGGGGTTGAAGAATACTGAAGATAAGCTGGATGGACAGAAAAACCAATAAAGATGTACCAGAAGGAATATGAGAAGGAAAGTTCCGTGAAAAAATATAATAAGAAAATGGAACAAATGGATAGGTCATATACTAAAACATTACATTATTGACTTTAATTAATTATTACACCATTCCTTCTGAGAAATTCCTAAAATTATATACGTCATTCATCGAATGATGATATCTATCCGTTATAATTTATTTAAACGTACGGATAAAAAATATATAATTAAAATCATATTAATATATAAATTAACGGTATACCGTTTGAATTGCGCAGCGCAAAATACTTTTGTAACGGAAATATAATTTAATTTTTCTAACCTGCAGCCTTTCAAAACTTCAAATTTTTATTATTTAAGTTGTTTTATGACATTTCGTAGTTTAAAAAACAAGTATAAAATAACACATCGTTAGTGCCGGATCTAGGGGGGAGGCAAGTTTGTATGCTTGCCCTAGATGCTGTTGGTATAAAGGCGCTCTTATGTCAAAGAAAAATAAAAAAAGGCATATTCTAAAAAGCACTTTTCTAAAAGGCACTTCTATCATCGTAAGAGCGCTGTATTTTAGTAGCCCCGGGCGTCAGATTTCCTAGATGTGGCACTAAATGTCGTTACATGTATCAAATAATAATTACCCAACTTAGAACCGGCGCAAAATTTATCAGGAGTAACGAAGAATTTAAATGCGTCTGAATACATTTCCCGACATGCCTTTTGGTCGATGTATGGCAATAGTGCTTCTAATAATTTAGGACTCGCCGATCCGGTCTCCGTTTGTCCCCAACCGACGATCTAAAACATAATTATTCATATGAATACACAATTATTCATTATTTATAGTGTTATAATTTAATCACAACAGATATGTTGAAAAAATATGTATACCATGCACTTTATGTAATCATGGTGTGTTCATATCGTGTAGTTATTACAATAGTCATCTTGACTATTTGGTAATTTTGTACGCAAGTTTATACACATCATCATGTGATAAATGTACTCGAATCGAATGAAAAATATGTTCAAGAATGATTTAAATTTTTTACACGAGCGCGGATAATCAAATTAAATGTAGGTACACATGCGTATATAATTATAACTGAACCATGAACAACAATAATTACCTTTCCAATAGCTCCATTCGATATGGTATATCTTTTGAACCAGTCGACACAAACAGGCATAACAACGTTGCTTAACTGAACTTTTTTCGTCAGCAAAATAATGGCTATGTCATTAGCGTAAAGTCCGGGAGGTCCGTAAAAGTCTTCGTTCAGGTAAATTAATCCGACCTATACCGCAGTTAAGTTACAAAGTATACAATTTACGAGTAGAAATAAGGGTACTTTTACGATATAATTCATTTTTTTTTTTATTCTTTCGATTTCAATTTTTAACTATTAACTCACGTCCATTATTTGTGTAAAATCGTTGTCTTTAACCGAAATATCTCTATTATACTTTCCAACGCCAATTTTGTACAAGGAATTACTATTCAGTATAATTTTGCTAGTTAAATCTTTGTTCCAAAAGCAATGCGCCGCGGAGACAACTAAATTCGTTGTGATCAACGATCCCCCGCATATCATTTCATAAGTGTTTTGTTCATTTTTCCGGTAAATTCCAACATTCCAAGGAGCTGCTCCGTAATTCGCTTCTTTGCCGTGAAGAATCAACGCTTCGTTAGGGATGTACGGTCGACCGCAATTTGGAGTGCACGTATACAGAGCCCCTCTCCATTCTCCGTTGGGTAGACAGAGCAATTCCACTGGACTTTCCACACCTCCGTTTGGTATGCCGTGCGTAACTTTACACGAGGGCGTCAACGTAGTACCCGGTATCGATGGTATAGAACAGTCAACGGTTTTACCATCAAGTGCGCATTTCATATCCAAGCCATCCGACGTTAAAGGTCGACATTTCTTCAAACATAATTTTTCGGAAACTAATGGAGTCCAATTACCACCTGAACATATCATGAACCTATAAGGTACCGCTTTATGGTAACCTTCTTCACAGT